GGGAAGAAAAAAGTATGGAGAAGGCTTGGAACAGCTCATGATCCAAAGCCTACAACATCATCTGTGAAACATGGTGGAGCAGTGTGAGGGCAGAGGAATGCATGGCTTCCAGTGGCACTGGGTTACTGGTGTTTAGTGATGATGTGACAGAAGACAGAAGCAGCCGGATGAATTCTGAAGTGTATAGGGATGTCTGCCTAGATTTAGCCAAATGCAGCAAAGTTGATTGGATGGCGCTTCATAGTACACGTGGAAATGACCCAAAATATACTGCAAAAGCAACCCAGGAGTTTTTGAAGGTGAAAAAGTGGAATATTCTGCAATGGCAAAGTCAATCTCCTGATCTCAACCTGATTGAGCATGCATTTCACTCGCTGAAGACAAAACTAAAGACAGAAAGATCCACAAACAAACAACAACTTCCACAAACACACAACAACTGAAGTCAGCTGCAGTAAAGGCCTGGCAAAGCATCACAAAAGAGGAAACCCAGTCTTTGGTGATGTCCATGAGTTCCAGACTTAAGGCAGTCATCGCCTGCAAAGGATTCTCAACAAAATATTAAAAATGAACATTTTATTTATGATTATATTTATTTGTCCAATTACATTTGAGCCCCTGAAAATTGGGGGACTGTGTATAATAAAATGGTTGTAATTTCTAAGCATTTTATGTCATATTTTTGTTCAACCCCTTAAATTAAAGCTTAAAGTCTGCAGCACTACAATTTCATCTGGATTGTTTTATTTTAATTCTATTCTGGTGGCGTACAGAACCGAAATTATGAGAGAGTCATTGTCCAAATATATGACCTAACTGTATGTACAACAATTCTGTCACGACAACATAAATGCATATTTACTTAATCACACATAAAGACAAAGAGAAAAACGTCCCGCCGCTGTTTCTGTAAACACTTCACAGTGTGGTCTCAAACGAATCGACTGAACAATTTTTGAACCGCTTGAAACGAACTGTCCGAACGAACCGATTCGCCAAAATGAATCAGACTTCTGCACGATATCATCCCTCAATCCCACGCCTTCTGTTCTTCTCTCTCTCATAGCCGTCTGCCTCCCTGGGGTCCTCCTGCCAGGTCAGGCATGGTAGAAAAGAAGGAAATTAAACGACCGGAGAGAAAATTGGACAAATTATAAATTGCGCTACGCAAAACATTTTTGTCATGCTAAATAATGCTAATAAAAAATACATTTTGATCAAACAATATGTCTCCTAAACAAACAACAGTGTCAGTACGATACGAAATACTAATGTTTCTTAATTCACATATTTTCAAATTTAAACGATATCCTACATGCGTATTATCATTTCATTCATACTGCACATTGCTTATTTCATATTATAGAAGAGCCCCGTCGGTCTCCATACATGGGCAGTTGCTACAGCCCGGAAGTGTGTCGGTAGCGCACATGACCGGAACTCGATCACATGATCAGTGTTTTCAAAGAAAGCTTGTATCCATTCAGCCGGACGCGGCCGAGATCCTGCGCTTTATCACTGTAAGTAGATTTTATTACCCATCATATATCCATAACCATTATTCGACAACTAACGACACTTAAAAACGCAGCTGGTTGTAAATAAAGCTAGAGGGTTTGATGTCATTAATATAAGTTCAAAAGCAAACATATGCAGTTATGATTAACGTTATATACTGCCATGCTGATTATACACTGTACATGTTATTCGATCATATTTATTAAAGCAAATGTGCATCTTGGTTGTTTTGCTCCTCAATGGACAGGGCTTTGCTTGATCATCTGAGTTGGTCAGTGTTGGTCAATACAGTATTGACCTGTCTTTATTTTTAGAGTCTTAAGGTTGCAGTGACCTGTTATCTGTGAGAAGTCATGAGACTTGTGATTCTGGACGACTATGATCTGGCCAGCGAATGGGCTGCAAAGTACATCCGCAACCGGATCATCCAGTTCAAACCCACTGCTGACCGCTACTTCACTTTAGGACTTCCAACAGGTGAGCTAAAAGTTACCAAACAGTTCCCAATGTATAAAATCCAGTCATGCCCTATGTATGTCTTTCTTGTTGAATATCCTGTTTCTCTCAGAAATATATCAGAATCTGGAAATTCTATATATCAGGAAGATTATGATTATTATATAATTTGATTATTTTCAGGTAGCACACCCCTCGGCTGCTATAGAAAGCTGATCGAATACCACAAGAATGGAGACCTGTCCTTCAAATACGTGAAGACCTTTAACATGGATGAATATGTGGGTGAGTGTGAACTGAACTGCACAGATCGCTTCTCACAAAAGTGCTGAGTACGCAAGATCTCCACGAACTCTCTCAAAACACTGCAGAACGAGAGCTGCCGATGCAGCAAGTCAGCATAAAACAACGCATGGATAACGCATAAAACAATGTTAAAGAGCGTTTACACACTGACCCTTCATCCTCATCCCTTTCTAGTCTAGTTCAGAAAACATTTAATAAACATTATAGTTGCATTGTGACATTTTCACGACTTAAAAAAAGCATGTTTTCCATCAAACTCTCATCGTAATGAATCTAGTTGGTTTACTTTTCTTTTTGTAATTCCCATTATTCTCAGTGATGATTCTCATTAATTGAATGCATTAGATTAGAAAATACTGTGATAATTAAAAGCAGCATCAAGCATAATTTCTAAATTTGTCTTCATCTTCAGGTCTGCCCAGGGATCATCCCGAGAGCTATCACTCCTACATGTGGAATAACTTCTTTAAGCACATTGACATCGAACCCCAGAACACCCATATACTGGACGGCAACACCAGCGATCTGCAGGCCGAGTGTGAAGCCTTTGAGCGGAAAATTACTGCTGCTGGTGGAATTGAGCTGTTTGTGGGAGGTGCATACAATAAATCAGATCCCAATAATTGGTTTTCCAGACACGGATTAATCGAGAGACACCAGTAACATTGCTTTGTGATGCATATCTTAATCTGCACTCACAAAACTGGCTCTCTAAGTAGTTAAACTGCTGCAATAACAAATGCTTTTTGTCAGTAATGCTTGTATGGTGATTGCTAGGCCTGGGCGATAAAACGGTATCGATATTTATCGACGGTACACCTTCTTCGATAACGATATAAAAAATGTTTGATATAGTGCACGATATAGGCACGTGCTATGAGTGACGCAGACAGCACACACAAACAGGAACATGAGTGCTGTGCCTGCCTGTGATGAGGAGATTGTGAATAAAAAAAATTAGTCGAATTTAAAATAAAAATTTGCATTTGAAGGCAAAAATAGTACAATGAATGTTAGGTGTGCATCAGGGAGCGTCATCAGTGGAGCACGAGATGCGATGATGATGATGTAAGTGACGTTGTTGTTTAATGTTTTGTTAGTCTTGCCCACGAGACGCGCAGTTGCTGCATTATTCATTTAAAATATTAGAGAAATATAGTAGCTCAAGGCGGAGAAGATCTTGATAAAGGTTAAAACTGAAACCAAGCCATTCACACAGAACGCATATTCAGCGCATTTTTTAGACAGAAAAATATG